TCCTGGGAGTGGGTATGAAGGAACAAATCGAATGACCCCCTTTCATTAAAGGAACTTGGATATACATACCCCACCCACCCATACCCCCACAAAAAATAGAAATGAATAAATGCAATTAGGTGGGTCAGTCTGAAATTTTTTTATTTAAACACTGAGTTCAAGAAAGAACCCATTTAGAATACCTTTAAACTCCAGTTCAAACAGGTTAACATCTTTAAATACATGAATGATTTTGTTGGTTATTGCTTGAATTCTCCCAGGGAAGTACTGTAAACCACATTATTGCAGGATGTCACCTCTCTTGTTCATTTTCGTGTCTCTAGGCCCTAATGCAGTAATCATACGTATTTGGTGTGCATTAAATATTTATGAAATAAATGAATGAATGGATACTACCCTAAAAGTTAGGTGACACATTCACATTTTTAAAGGCAGAAATTGAGATTCTGAAAAATTAGGTTGCTTGCATAGGGTCCTAGTGAAACCTGGACTTGAAATGAGATTTCATTTGCAAGCCAAGATATTTGCTAACACACTGTACTGCTTCCAGATTATGAAAGAAGGTGCACTGGGATAAAATGAACATTTTCTCTAGCATTAGCCATAAATTATCCTTGGCCCATTCTAAAACTTGGTGTGTCTTCTGACTTTAATGAGTCAGAATTTAGTGCATTAAGCCTTACAGTCATACTGATCTGATGGAACAACTCTTCCCTGAGCAGTATCTGGAAAGATAAAAGCACTAAGAATTTCTTTCAAGGTATTTTGGCTTTGGTTTAGATTTTATTTATTTATTTATTTTTTAACTACCTTTCAGGGTCAAGGTGTCATGGCCATGAATGTTATCAGTTCCTTGGTTGCGATAACTGGGATTACTTTCACCATACTCAGCTACAGACATGAAGACAAGTACTGCCAGACACCTTCCCTTGAAGAAACATGTGTTTTAGGTAGAACTCTTTTCATTGTAAGTGATCTTACTTTTCATGATGAATCTGTAAAATCTTATCTGAACTGTGTTGGTGATACAATGATTCATTGATTTTTATTTTATTAACTGAAATTGTGTCAGCATCTGAACTGACGATAGGGAAGGGTATTGTGGAATTATTGTTGCAATCATTAAGGAGCCATATTTTCTGGACTTGAATCCTGTCACATACGCTTGTCACCTTGGCCTAATATTGTATTCTCTCTAAGCTTCGGTTTTCCTCATGTGGAAAATGAACATAATAAGAACGCTTACCCCATGGGTTGTTGTGAAGCTTGCTTAAATTAAAACAGTACCCTGCACAGTTAAATAGTCAATAGGTTTAGCTAATACAATTATTATTGACATGGATTGAATTAAATTTTACCTTTTCAGCAGTAATGAACAAAATGATCTAAAAGTTTTTTCAATAAAAATAATATCAAAATACAGTAGGAGAAGGTATTTAGAAGCCATTGAATAAAGTAAGGATTTTAAGAAGTTTAAGACATATGTTATTTCACATAATTGCAACCATTTTATTCATTAAAGTAGATGAGAGATCTTTTTACTGGGAAATGCAATTGTTGGTACAATTTAAAGTATTTATCTAACAAGTAATCAATGACATTATTTTTAACCATGTCAGTGACTCCAATAGGCCTTTCCCTCTAGTTCCCTAATCAAGTCGTTGGGTTTTATTTTATTCCTACCAGCTATATCTTGAATGCTTGAGTTCTATAATTTTAAGAATATTTGAACCTGTTAGAAGGGAAATAAAGCAGAATCACAGAAAATGCTCTTCCTCGATAAAAGAAATGAGAAGTTAGTTCCTGAATACAAGGTTTTATTTAATCTTCACAATCACTCGGCGAAATGATTCTAGGGATCCTCTCATGTTTTCTGAGATAAATTCCAAAATTGGACTCATGATAGATTACTAAAGAAAGCCAGAAAACAACATCAGCAATAAACCCACTCCTAACTTGGCCCAAAACATGATACAACCTTATAATTCTTGCTCATTTCCGAATGGACAGGAGCATACTGTTGTTCATTATGTTGGTATATATCAGGAAGAAATAGTATATACTGAAAGGGTTAAATCTCCAGATATATGAAATTCTGCTATTTCCTGTCCTCCATGGATAGGTTTGGCAAGATTGGTTATGTGACTACAGAACCATGAACTCTCTCTTCCTAGTTCTCAGCTTAACAATTTCTTGTTGTAACTCAAACATCATAAGCTAAAGGAGCCAGAATAGTGGGCTTTAGACATCTCTTGGGCTGACCCCTGTCCTGAAGACCAATCTATTGTCTCTACTGTGACCAGAGTAATTACTTAAAAATGTAAATCAGAGCAATTACTTAATGGCTTTCTGTAAAACATGTGATGATTAAGACCCAAATCTAAAGGGCCTTACCAAACTCTGTAATACCTATCCTACCCAGCTTTCCAACGTTATTCCAGGACTTTATCCTGCTTACTCCACACTCCAGCCACTTTCTAGAATCCCTTAATGTGTCAAGCAGCCACTGCCCCAAGATGATCATAGGATTAGCATCTTCCTACTTTGAATGGTCCCCCAGGCCAGTTATACAATTAACTCAGCCTCATACTTAAATCTCAACTGAAGTACCACTTCTTTAAGAAAGTTCTCCCTGACTACGGCTCTACTCTCATATCTGCATAGATCCCCCATTATAGTAGCACAGAGCTCCCAGTCCTTCTTCACAGCATTTATCATAACTTAGTTAAGTAGATAATTATCTAATTACTTGTTATTGTCTGCCTCCCTTACAGTGATGTAAGTTCCACAAAATCCAAGACCAGGTATACCTTGCTCAATGGAAAATGTCAGTAAATTGCATAGAGTAGGGTCTGCATACATTTTAGTTTTACCAACAAATATTGAATATATAAGATCCTGGGTGTATTGCAGGGAAACCAAGATTCACAAACACACAGTTATTTGTTCAAGGTTAAGTGTGACCTTGAACCCACTTTAACCCAGATCTTTCTGTCTTCATATTTTAAGCTTTTGAGGCATCATATGTTGCTTCTCAATCCAAACATTACCTTAAAGCAAAATGAGCAAAAGGGCAATCTCTGGGCTACATTTAGCCTGCGTATATGTTTTATTTGGCTCACACAGGTGAACACATAACAAGAAAATTTCAACTCAAAAAGTATGTATATCCAGTTTATTTAGGGAAAAACAAACAAAATAGGCATCATGGTACCCATGTTCCCACATGACAACAATTGGCTGGAACCGAGTAATGGATGCCTCCTACAAATACTTTTACTCTCAATTTTCTCCCTGTTTAGTTCAAGATGGTTGCACAGCTCCCAGGGACTTTGGAGTTTGTTATCTCTGCCTTATCAGAGAGATATAACATGAAAATTGTGCAATGTCTGATGGCTACAGAATCATCTAAAATATGGTTTTCCCATACTTGGTGATAGAGTCTAAAGTGTTCTCAGCTTATATGTTTAAAATAACAGCTCTCATTTCAAATGTCATTTATTTCTTCTCATTATTTGCAGGGAATTTTGTCAATCTTACTGATCATCAGCATAGCAGAGCTCAGCATCTCTGTGACTATTGCATCCTTTAGAAGCAAGTGCTGGACGCAGTCAGATGAGGTGTGTTCCATGTTATTAAGCGAACAGATTCCTTTGGGATACTGCACACAATGATGTTGGGTTTATTAGTAGGAAGAGCAGCATGCTCAGATGCTGAACTAAAACATCTAACTTTAGGAAGGTCAGAAAGGGACAATCTTAAGGCTGACGCTCACCCCAGCATTCGAAACAACTATGCTTTCCTTTCTTGTCCTATCTGCTATATACTCAGTCATCTCTGTTCAGACATAGCTCCTTATATCCCTGCCAAAAATACGTAATATCAGACTTAATAGGGGCCCAAATTACTGTGACATGGGGTGTGTGTTCTTGGATCATAAGATGTGTGACACAGTTCTACCACCAGAAAAGAAGTAGGGGGAAAACAAACCATTAATACTGATACTACATATATTTATAATAATTGTTACAGTTTGTATTTACTGAATTCTGACTATGTCACTCACTGTTATAATCACTGAGCGCCAGCTTAATCTTAACAATTAACTATTATAACATCTTTATTTTACATATGAAGGAAGTAAGGCACAAAGAGGCTAAATAACCTCTCCAGTATCATATAACATAAGGATTCTGACCCCCGTAGTATGTCTCCAGAGACTGCTTGCTAAGTCCCAAAATACTAGTACAAGCCTTGTGATTCATGGAGTTTTCATTTCTCTCTCTTTTTTTTACATGAACTTTATAGAAGTATGATTTGTAAACAACAAAATGTACCTATGTTTAACTACCGTCACAATCAAGGTATAGTGCATTCCTATCACCCCTAAAGGTTCACTGGAACCCATTTTCAGTCAATGTTCTCATCACCAAGATTGGTTTTGACTTTCCAAAATTTCATACTCAAAGAATCAACATTTGGGTTCATTGATTTTCTCTATTTTTTCTTTTTTTTTCCCCCATTTATTTATTTTATTGCATTTTAGGTTTTGGGGTACATGTGAAGAACATGCAACATTGTTGCATAGGTACACACGTGGCAGTGTGATTTGCTGCCTTCCTCCCCATCACCTGCATCTGGCATTTCTCCCCTTGCTATCTCTCCCCAGCTCCCCACCCCCCACCGTCCCTCCCCTATTTCCCCCCAACTGACCCCAGTGTGTAGTGCTCCCCTCCCTGTGTCCATGTGTTCTCATTGGTGGGAGTGTAAATTAGTTCAACCATTGTGGAAGACAGTGTGGCGATTCCTCAAGGACCTAGAAATAGAAATTCCATTTGACCCAGCAATCCCATTACTGGGTATATATCCAAAGGATTACAAATCGTTCTACTATAAGGACACGTGCACACGAATGTTCATTGCAGCACTGTTTACAATAGCAAAGACCTGGAACCAACCCAAGTGCCCATCGACAACAGACTGGATAGGGAAAATGTGGCACATATACACCATGGAATGTTATGTAGCCATCTATTCTTTTTCTATTGTCTATTTTGGTTATTTCTGCCCTAACCTTTATTATCTTCTTTCTTTCTTTCCCTAGCTTTGGATGTAGTTTGCTCTTCCTTTCCTAGGTCTTTGTGGTATAAATTTAGCTTATTGATTTGAGATCTTATTTCTTAACATAGACATTTACAGCTACAAATTTCCCTCTTAGCACTGATTTCACTGCATCTCCTAAGCTTTGCTATATTTTGTTTTTACTTGCCTTCATATCAAAGCGTTTTCTAATTTTTTGTGATTGCTTCTTTGACCCACTGGTTGTTTAAAAGTGTACTATTTAATGTCCATATATTTATGATTTTTTTTCTATTTTACTTGTTATTGATTTCTAACTTTACCCTGTTGTGATCAGAGAAAATGCTTTGCATAATGTCTATCTTTTAAATCTATTGAGACATTTTTTTGTGTGTGGCCTGACTAGTCTATCCTAGAGAATGTCCCAGGTACACTCAAGAATAATGTGTATTCTGACATTGTTAGTTGGAGTGCTCCATTTATGTCTATTAAGTCTACTTGGTTTATACTGTTGTTCAGATTATCTGTTTTCTTGCTTATCATCTGTCTGGTTGTTCTACCCATTGTTAAAAACGTGTTATTGAAGTCTCTAGTTATTATTGTAAAACTGCCTATTTCTCCCTTCAGTTCTGTCAAGTTAGCTTCATATATTTTGAGGGTCTGTTTTTAAGTGTGTAAATGTTTATAATTTTTATATATTCATGCTCTATTGAAACTTTTATTGGTAAAGTCCTTCTTTGTCCCTCATAACTTTTTAAAGTCTTTTTTACCTGATATTAGTATTGACTCTCAGGTCTCTTTTTGTTGCATTTGCATAAAATAACTTTTTCCCATCATTTCACTTTCAACCTGTTTGTGCCTTTGAATCTAAAGTAAGTCTTTTCTACATAGGATGTTGTTGGATCATGTTCACTTTTTCTTAATTCATTCAGCTAATGTCTGTGTTTTGACTGGATAAATTAATCCCTTTATACTTAACATAAATATTGATAAGGAGGAATTTACTTCTGCATTTTTTTGCTATTTTTTCCATATACATGATAGTATTTTTGTCCCTCATTTCCTCCATTACTGGATGAATATTTTTTAAATCATAAATGGGTATTGGCTTTTGTCATTTTCATCTCATGCTTTTATCTTTATTGTATTATCTGTATATTATACAACTAGAGGGGAGTACAAACCCTGTTTGAGGCCCTTTAGAAACAATATTAAAATAAGTTACTCACACTAAGTAACTGTTCAATTGAATTCAGTGAATACAGATCTTTAATCTGCTAATAGCATAGTAATGTGCAAAGTACAACAGAGGATTCAAAAATAATAAAATATGTATCTTGATCTCGAGAAAAGGAAAGAGAAAATGAATTCTACATTTACAGGGAAAGTTCTCTGTGCCAGTTTCTGTGCTTAAAAGTATTATTTCATATGGTCGTTAGTCATAGCCACCTTCAAGTTAAGGAGAAAGTGAAGTTATTAATACAGGAAGCATAGATCAGATAGGAAAGCACAGGATCTTCGATTCAACTGCAGCGTTTAAATCCTTCGCAGGTAAACAGCTCTATGATACTGGTCTGGTTATTTAAAATCTCTGAACCTCAGTGTCCTCAATTGCAAAAGAAGGATAATAACTTCGTAGGGATGTTATAGCAATTCCTTGATGACTTTGGAAACTTGTCTAGCATTTAGTAATCACTGAGTTCTCATTAATGATGATGAAATTTAAAATCATAGCACTTAAGAGCTTGAATAAACAGAGAAACTGTAATTCATTCTTTCAAACCTCTTTTTAAATAAAGGAATAAAATAAAATTTGTATGAAACAAAAGTGTGAGGATTAGTAGAAATATAAAAATCTCTCCCAGAGTACAATTTATATTCACACAAATAGTCCTTCAATAGGGATGAAAAATAGGTGTGAAAAACTAGGAGAGTGGGAAATGACAGTGTCTTATGTAAGAGAATATGTAGATTCTCAATCTAGACTTGTTACCAACCAACTAGGCAAGCATAATTAATTCACTTAATCACTGAGTTCTTATCCACCTCATCAAATAGACTCTTTTGACTCCATGAATAACCTCAGAAAGATGTAATTCATGGAGTCAGAATAAAAAGCAGCAGGTTGTGCTGTAATAACAGCTTCCTAAAAATTATAATATCAACATGACAATTAATAGGAAGCATTGAAGATTGTATCAGATGCTGTCACTTAGCTGTTTAAAAAACTCCAATAGATTTCTCTTGTTTGTAAATGAAAGTCCAAATTTCCTAGCCTAGCGTACCATCTAATATGGTACCATCTAATATCAGTAATATTTAACTGCTTACCAACTGCCATCACACCACAATATATTACAATCTTGTGTCTTTGTACCCGCTATTTTCACTGTTTCTTCTGCCTGGATTCCGACTCCTGTCTTATTTCATCTTACCTTCTCTGCCTGAGCAATTCCTATTGAGCTGTTAAGATACTAAGTATTTATTTATGTAATGGCATTTGCTAAATTGTATTACTATTATCTGTTTATATGCTGATGTACATATAATTGCAAGGGAATTATATGTACATCATATACACTTTAAGGGACCTTAAGGGAAAAACCTACATCTAATTGTCTTTGATCCCCAGGATGTTGTTCATCTAGGTGATCAATAAACCATTATAGATTAAGCATGAATATATTAATATTGACTAGATGATATAAAATATCTCAGAAGCTTTGTAATATTAAGTGTGGGAGGAATTATTGAGGCAATCTTAATCAAATTCCTCTGTTCAACATTTGAAAAACTACAAGATGATGACTTCTAAAATAATACCAATGAGTTGATGGTAAAGGCAGGTCTGGTAATTGTTTTCTGCCTTCTCATTTAGGTGTTATTTCCTATATACTGTCTTAAGTCAGAGATGAAAAGTAACTTGGAAAACAAAAAAAGTCATCAGCAATGATTCTGTCATATTAATTACCCTCACCATTGGTTTTATAGGTTCTGTTTTTCTTGCCTTTGGATGTTACTCAAAATAGTGAACAACCTGCCCCAGAAGAAAATGCTCAATTACAATTTGTGCTTCAAGAAGAGTTTTCCAGTGATGATTCAACAACAAATGCACAGCCTGTTTTCTTTGGAGGCTATGCTTTCTTCAAGTTAAGACTCTCTAGAAGTCCTTTAGTCTCCCAACCAGATAATAAAGATAGGAGATCTGTGACAGATGAACAAAAGCAAAGTATCCTTTCAGCTCCTAAATTTTCAGAGGAAGAAATGCCCATTCAGCCAGACTCTACATTTAAACAAATGACAGATGAAGATCTACAATCTGCTATGATACAACCCTCCCAAATGGAAACCCAGTTGATGGAGAACCAAGCTGTGTCACTCCAAGTGACATCCCATTCTGTACTAAAACTCCAAGATCTGTCACCTGAGGACTTACCATCCCAAGCTCTACCAGTACAAGGCCTTTCAGAACAATCTACACCAGCCAAGTCTACATCATCCGATGTCAAACAGTCTTATAATCTGACAGCTAATGACCTGTCCCCTCAAGGCATACTATCCCAAGATATGCTGCTTCATGACATGGCATCAAAAGACATGCAATCCCTATCTATACTATCTCAAGACACACTATCCCACAACGTGTCACCCCAAGACATACCTTCCCAAGACATGTTATCCCAAGCCGTATCAGAACAAGCCATATTACCTGAAGCCTCAACATCCCATATTGTGCAGGTCCCTAAAATACAACACCTACTTCAGCAACCCCCAGATCTTCGACCAGAAAACATTCACCCTCAAAATCAGCAAAATTTACAAATGTCATATCAAGATATTAGATCAGAAGTTATGGAAGAAACCAAAGAATGGAAAGCTGAGGAGGAACTCCATAGAAGAAAATCCTCAAGACGGCATTCCTTAAACCAGCAAACCAAAGGCTTGCAATACATAAGGAGATATTCCTTATACATGCAAACCAAAGGCCAGCAATCCCCAAAGAGGCATTCCTTGGATCAGCAAAGCAAAGGCTGGCAATCTCCAAAGCGGAAATCCTTAGATCAGCAAATCAAAGACTGGCTATCCCCAAAGAGGCACTCCATAGATAAGCAAGCTCAGCTTAATCAAACCACAGAGCAACTCCCAGATCAGCAAGCTGAAGATCGGCAAGCCAAAGGGGAACAATACCCAGAAGGACAATCTAAAGATGAGCAAGTTAAAGACCAGCAGACTGATAAGGAGCAACACTCAAAGAAGCAAACCAAGGATCAGCAAGCTGAAGACCAGCAGGCCCAAGAGAAGAAATCCCCAAAAGGATGGTACCAAAGTGTTCAACCTGAAGGACAGCAAGCTCAAGTGGAGAAAATGCCAAAGCAGTTATGCCAAGATTCAGAATCCCAAATACAGCAATACCAATTCTGGCAATATCCACAAAAGCAATCTACAGACTGGACAACCCAAGACTGTCAATCCAATGACTGGAGAACTCAAGGCTGGAGAGACAAATATTACAAAGCACGAGAATGGCAATTTGCAATGCAGCCCTGGCAAACACAAGATCTGTTAGAGAAAGAAGCCCTAAAGCAGAAAGCTCTATACCAAGAAGTCCAAACCCAGCACACCACAGCCCAACTTAACCTAGAATGGGAAGATGGTCAAGATAAAGACCAACACGACCTTCGATCCAGAGTTACACAGAAAGGAGATATGTATACTAGAGACATCAAACCAGGGGACATAAAATGTATAGGGCAAACTTCAGGGGACCTACAGTCAGAAGACGTGAAGCCAGATTTCCATTCTTCTTCGGGCCAAAGCTCAGTACAAGACACATGTTTAGCCTATTTGTCCCATCTAGATTCGGAACAAGATGTGCAACCAAATACTTCAGCTTCCTCAAATTCATATAAAGAAGATGTGAATTTAACTTCTACTTCATGTGATCCAAAAGATCAACAGCAATCTGAAGACTCTGAATAACATGCAGAATCTACCCCCAAGTGCCACGCTGCCCCCAATAATGGAATTAAATTAGGAAAAACAATGTCCTCTCCTCCAACCTGTGTTCTCAACTGTGGTTGCTACCTAATTATCTTACCAAGAAATGAAGGGCATGCAGAGCACTCAAGGAATTTGTCCTTACTTAAAATAAAATGACAACAAACCAAATAATAACACTGTATCAGCTTATGTATGTGAAGAAATAATTCACATATAAACTCCTTGTCATCAAAGTTAGTGCTTTAATTTATAATTACGATTTTATTTTATAACTTGATATTTAATGGACCTACTTTGCTATGATGCTGTATTTTTTGTCTCCCCCTTTTTCTATTATAGGAGTCCAGAAAATCAACCACAGGGAAGTCTATGAATGCTCTTTAAAGGTTCATGAACCAAAAGAGTCAGCAAGGAACAAAAATTGCTTCCATTTCCCTGTCTTGCTGTTTCCAATCCTCTCATTTACTCTCCCTCTTCATATCTATGTTGAGGGTATATGGACTGAGTTTGCTCAATTATTAATGAGATAGAATGTGGCAATGAATACAGAATGTGATGGATGGAGTGGGAGGGACTAAGAGATATCTAGAGATAGGGAAGTAGAAATTAGGGAAGAACAGAGATGCAGATGTTATAACAGAAAATATGACAGACTGTAGTGTATTGAGTGAAACCGTAGCTCCCTTCTCTATGCCTGCATTTACTAATTCTAATTTCTCAACCCTTATAATACATAATTTCATGCTCTGTAGTCAAAGGAAATTGTGTTATCAAAAGCTATCAGTTACCCTCAATCTTCCAAACCTAATCATTTTTTTCAATCCTATTTCCCTTTATCTGTTTGATACATTTGGAAAGGTTAACTATCCCTTTTTTTTTTCCAATTTGTATCACCCCCCTTAACTACTGTGTTTTGCTCTTTCTGTTTCAAAAATTCTATAGTCGATATTTCTAGGATCTCTCTCTGACTTCATTCATTTTTTATAATTACAATGAACTATTAATAACCTTAAATTTCTGTGCAAAATTCCTTTTCTCATTAAAGATAACCCACAATCCGGAAAGATTGTAGGTTCCCATAAATAGTACACATGTGGAAAAATCCACACAATTTAAAAAAGCAATGTCCTAATTTATTAGAAACACCTTTGACTTTTAAAGCAGGAACTATCTAGCTGCAGTGCGGAGGATGAACCGGAGGAAGAAAGTTGGAGGCAGGGAGTTAATTAGGAAACTCTTGAAATAGTGAAGAAAGAGGTACTAAGTGTCTGATATAGGGATATATAGAAGAGTAAAGACTAAAAAGATAATTCAAGAGTAAAATTGTCCAGATGGAACAGGAACTAGAGGTGTAGAATTAAGGAAAATGAAGAATGAACCATCTATTCTAGCTTAAAAGATTAGGTGGCTGAGACATCATTACCATCAACAAAACAGAGGAAGAGGCACAGGTTGGAGCAAGAGTAAGGAGCATAGTTGGTTCCTCCTAGTGCAGTGTATTAGTCAGGGTTCTCCAGAGAAACAGAACCAAGAAGATTAGATAGACAGACAGATAGACAGATATAGATAGACAGACAGACAGACAGACAGATAGATAGACAGATAAGGAATTGGCTCACATGATTATAGGGCTGAGAAGTCCCAAGATCTGCAAGCTGGAGACCCAGGAGAGCTGATGGTATAGTTCCAGTCTGAGTCTGAAGACCTCAGAATCAAGAGTTTAAATTCCACTTCAAGTCTTAGTCTGAAGACAGGAGAAGACCAATGTCCCAGCTCAAAGACAGTCAGGCAGAGAAAGCGAATTTTCTCTTTCTCAGGCTTTTGTTCTGTTTAGGCCCTTGGCCTACCCATACTGGGGAGGGAAATCTGCTTTACTCAGCCTACCAACATAAATGTTAATTAACCTCATCCAGGCACATCCCATAGACACATTCAGAATGCACTTTAACCAAAAATCTGGGCACCTATGGTTCAATCAAGAATGATGCATACAATTAATCATCAAAGGTCCACCCCTTGTCAACCTGACACTCATATGCATCTCCTTAAGCCCTACTTAATCTTCAAATAAAGACTAAAAGTTATAATTCTTCATAATATGTTACAACTGTCATGCATACAACTGGAAATGTACCAACCACTTCTCAGAAGAAGGGGTAAAGTCTGTGAGTGATGTTTACTCTTCTCCTTACTGTCTGGTAACTTTTATGATTTAAATTCTATGATGTCTCATAAATTCTATGATATAAAGTTAACAATACTTAATAGTATAATATGAACATGCCTTATGTTACAGGATTAGAGAAAGAGAGAACAGACGTGTGTGTGTGTGTGTGTGTGTGTGTGTGTGTGTGTGTGTGTGTGTGTGTAGTTTCTATAAATGGTTATGTGGTCATAGCTGGTATTTATAACTACCTCCTTCTACTGCCCATTCTGTAGTCCTTGTCCCTTCAGCAAGCACCTTAGCTAGCCATGGTTCTTTATCTGGTACAGTGATACAAACCTTCATTCCTGAAAAGCCTGGACAATTAGTGGTCCTGCCTGGATTGAGTTGTAGTTTTCTTAATTGACCTCAGTCACAGGTCATGGTAATGCTAAGAGATGCATGAAGAGATCTCCTATATTCCAAACATACTCTTCCTTATCTCCATTGTGAAGTAGTGGTCTAATTTCCCCATAGTCATCAGAAACAATCACCCCATCCAGCACAGTAATCCCATTCAATTACCTGAAGAGGATGGAAGGGCTTTTCTCCAAAATTCAGCAATAAATCTATAGAAGCCAACCTTACCAGAGGCTCTACATAGCATCCCTAAATGCCATTGACACTTCAAGCACCATTGGATCTGTTGGATGGTATAGTCCAAGCAGAAGACAGCTTACACAGAAGCTTAAGCCTATTGTGAAGCCTTTTCTTCTGGTCCTACTCAAAAGTAGCAGCTTTGTTAAGTCACTTGGCAAATTGGCCAGAGTAACACACCCAAGTGAGGAATATGTTGCCTCCCAAACCCAAAGAAACTCATTAGATTCTGTTCCTCTTTTTGGTTGTGGAAGCCAGCTGTGACAGCTTATCCTCATGCTGGCAGAGATTCTCGATATTCCCCACACCACTTGATCCCTATAAATTTCACTGAGTTACAAGACCCTGAGCTTTTGTCAGATTTATTTCTCACACTCTGGCATGTAAATATCTTATGAATAAATCTAGAGTAGTTACTATGTCTTATTTGCTAGGTCCAATCAGCACAATGTCATCAGTGTAATGGACCAGTGTGATATCTTGTGGAAGGAAAGGGCAATTAAGATCCCCGTTAACTAAATTATGACATCAAGCTGGAAAGCTGATATACCCCTGAGGTATGACAGTGAATATATGTTGTTGGCCTTGTCATGTAAAAGCAAGCTATTCCTGGTGGTCTTTACTAATAGCTATCCAGGAAAAGAATTTGTCAGATCAGTAACATTATACTAGGTACCAGAGGATGTGTCAATTTGCTCAAGCAATGAAACCATATTTGGTATGGCAGCTGCAACTGGAGTGCCACTGCAATTGGTAATCCATTGTCATCTTCCAAGATTCATCTGTCTTCTGCACATGCCAAACATACGAGTGGAATAGGAATGTGGTGGGAATCAGCACCCCTGCATCTTTCAAGTTACTGATGGTGTCATTAATCTCTGTAACCCCTCCAATAAATGTGTTAAGGGTCACCAGCCCTGCATCTTTTAAGTTACTGATGGATTTATCAATTTCTGCAGTTCCATCAGGAATGTGGTGTTGCTTTTGCTCTACTATTTTACTAGGCAGAGCCAGCACTAGAGCTTCCACTTGGTATTACTCACCATAATGGTCCTTACTCCACAGGGTAAGAAAATAATATGGAGATTCTACCACCTGCTGAGTATATTTATTTCAATTATGCCTTCTGGGATTGGGGGAATAACCACAGGATGGGTTGGGGAGACCACTGCATCCATTGTGAAATTAACCAGAGATAAAACTATGAATCATTAGACCTCCATAAGCACTTACTCTGAGTGGTGAGCCACAGTGATGTTTTGGGTCTCCTGGAATTAATTCAGAGTCAGTGTCTAGTAGTCCCTGAGATGTCCGGTTATTTCCTTTCCCCCAATGCTCAGTATCCTGGAAGAAGGCTGCAGGTCCCTTTGAGGAAGGCTGTGAGCAAGATTAACAGTACAAATTATTGGTAATGCACCAGATCCTTCTTCAAGGAGACCTGGTCTCCCCCTTCATTCAAGGAGTTCTTTCTGGGTCTGTAAATTTCATTCCCGGTCTGCAAACCAGCTCAGGTCTGGGAATTGATGGAGGGGCTCTGAGTCTCTATTTTTATCATTCAGGTTAGGCTTTCATTCACATGACCTAGAATATTTCTGCTTATATAAATCAAAGAATAATTTAATAGGATTTCTATCTATTTTACCTCTAGGAACACCATGATCAACTAGCCCATACCATAGGTCTGATTCAAATAATCTTATCCATATACACCCTTGCAGACACAGGCAAAATAATGTTTAAATTAAATATTTGGGAAGCCTATGACCTGGTTAAGTTGACACATAAAGTTAACCACTGTGTCTCATTTATACTCACTGTCTTGGGGCCACAATCTGGAATGAGTCTTAGTTGAAATCACCTGCATAGATCAGAGGAGTTGCTGGGATGCATATATACCAAGCAAGTCCTCACTGAGACATATCATTAGCAGGAACAAAAATGTATTATTTTAAAATGTGGATAAAGAGATCTTCTCTGGAAAATCATCATCTATATTTATGTAACCTCTCACTTGTGGTTATAACGCCTAGAAAGGCATGTAGATCCATCACATTTCTAAAAGGCTAATCTTACTGTTAGTGAACCACACAGACACAAAGAGTCCTTAGGAAAGTGCAGATCTCCTTTCAGCCATAATATCCTCCATCAATTCACAAGGTACTCTTTGGATTGGGAGATTCATATTTCTCACTCTACTTTCCCCACTAGCACATATACCCTTTTTTCCCCGGTGATCCCTGTGATTTTTTTTTCCTCCCCTACCTACCCTAGGATTCAAATATGAAGTTTCTGGTCAGAGGCTTAAGTTTTTATGAATCACTAGAGAAAGCCTTAGGTCTCAAGACAATGCTCTGAAGCATCAAACTGAGTTCATGGAATCTAAATCTAAACCAACTGGATCATAATTTTGACCCAGCACCATTTACTAGCTGGGAATATACTTTGGGAATGTTTCTTAAAATCTCTGTACCTAAGTTTTCCCATCTATAAAATATGAATAGGAGTAGTACTCAGCACAGGGTTGTCAAGATTGAATAATTAATGCATGTTTAGTGTTTAAAATATCTGGCACAGGAAGTGCTCAATTTTTTTTCCATAATAAAACATCTATAAAGCTAATTCTCTGACTAGTTGGTATTACTTCTTATGGCATAAACTTGATCTAGTTTAGGCCACCAAAGTATCCCTCTTTATTATGAATTATACAAATTATCTCCCTGCTATCAACGGAACTGTGTCCCCCTCTAAATTCATATGTTGAAGCCCTAGTTCACAGTGTGATGATATTTGGAGATGGAGTTTTTGAAGCTATTGGGTTTAGATGAGGATATGAGAGTGAATCTCTCATGATGGGATTAATGCCCTTATATGAAAAGATACCAGAACTCTCTCTCATGCTCTTTTTCTGTGTGTGTGTGTGTGTGTGTGTGTGTTTGTGTGTGTGTATGCTCACATGCCTGTGTGCACACAGAGGAAAGATGAAGTGAAGACATAGAAATAATGCAGTCATTGGCAATCCAGGAAGCAAGATCTCACAAGGAACCAAATTAGCTGACACTTTGACCTTGGAATTCACAGCCTCCAAAAGTATGAGAAATAAATTGGCACTGTTAAAAGGAAGCAGTCATTCTAATTTACCATAGTAGCCTGAGCAGACTAATATACACTTTTTCTTCTTGCAGGTTGGAAAAGGGTGTGAGGTCATAAAAATCCCATCTGACCACAATGAAACAAAGTATCTTTTTGTTCTTTAAACATAAAATTCCTAGGTAGTCACAAAGGGAATATCTAATATCTATGTGTAAGTCCAAAAATAGTAATTAGAGTATTTATGTCAGAAGGTACAATAGGATATCCCTGGTGCTGCCTTTGTAGGTTCTGTAGAATCTTCTATCTTATTTTTAAAGGATACTATATACGCAAGATTGTGCTGGTACTACCTTAGAGTAGTGAAGAATTAGGATGATAACCAGCAGGACAATGCAATGAGAAAAACAGTCATCATATACAGAAGCCTGGACATGCAGAAAAAACTAAGAATTCAATAGATGCAGGAAATCAGAGCTTGAGACCACTTCAGAATGATAGAAGCCCCAGTTGCTCCCCTTCCCTCCTGTTCACTTGCTCCTTCCAAGAAATGTCTGGAGACGTTGAGAGTGACGCTAGACTTTACGTCATTCATGAGATAAGATTTAAAGACACTATTATTCTTTATCATTTTAAAAAACAAAAGAAAACTGGGGGATTGGGGACTCCTAGGCAGGTGACATCTGGACACAAGAGTTGACTGCTCTAACTCGGCTCCCAAAGTTGCTCTCCCCAGAGTATGGATATGGATCTTTTTAAAGGAGGGCTTTGCAACAGAGAAAAATAAAAGAAACTCAAAAACAAAACAAAAAAATTACTTTCAGTTGCAATAAGAGAAGAAGGAGAGAAAGAATACAGTATTTTTCTTGAAACTTTCCAGCAAGGGAGGCAGAGAGAGGCTGTGAGGAAAGGCCTAATCCTATTGACCATGGGTCAGAGAACTTTGATCCCTTGGATCATCATAACTTCTCTGAAATACCTTGCAATAAGAAGCTTGAAATTAAGGCTTAATTTTAGAAGATTAATGAATATAAAGATATATATTATTCCATAAACCACATTAAGGCTAGAGTACTTTCCATTAAAAGTGTAGGTTTTGGCAGATTGGAAAATAAGAAGAAATCCGAGGATAAGGAAAATTTTTGGAGTACTCAACAGATACATGTCATCAATGTCTGAACAGATTTATTAGCAGGAAGTCACGGAGTTCCACAGCCACCCTGAAATGGAGAAATTATAAAATAATGTCTGGAATGACTCAGTGTGACATTTCCAGTTTACAGCTAAACTCATAGAAATACATTTAGCCTGCAAAGAATCAACCAAAATGAACTTTGGAAATAATGCAAACATAAAGCAAGACAAATTATCTGGCTACAATGCTAAAAATGGCAATAATAAGAGAAATAATACTTATTCCTCTTATTTTTATTATTACTACAATTCACTTAGTATCTACTACATTCCATGTACTTTAAAATTCACTCATAATAACTGTATAACAATTTTTATTCTCATAAAAGAAATGTGATGTTTTTATATATGTAAATTAATAGGTAATTTAGCCTAGGCCCCATAACTGGTAAATAGAAGGGCTTGGGGTTCATTCTAGGTTTCTCTTCTCCAAAGAGTAAGTCTTCCACTGCATCACTAGAATTAGCCTGCATGAATTAAAGAATAATAAACATTAAAGCTCCATTCCTGCCACTCGTCAGACAACTATTAGAACACTGTGCTAGTCGTCATGCTTAGAGGGAGAAAACATGAAAATTAGGAAAGATCTAGAGCCAAGTTAAAACCTGAATAATTAGGGTAAAATGGTGTTTTATAAAAGTTTGTTGCAACGGAGTGTGCTTAACTTAGGGAATACTAACGCAACATTAGATGATGTTCATGAAGGATAATCACCACTATGATTCAACATCCATAGGAAATTGAACAAGAGATGGGTACATTCAGAGAAAAGAAACTGTGAGGGAGGGGTGGTCTTTTCAAATGTTCTAACTGGCAAGTGGCTAGAGGCTGTCACATCATGAGGTTCAATTAAGGAAGACCTGATCTCCATAGGAAACACCAGAAAATGACAAGGTACAGTTAAAAATAGACACAAATTGTTCCCTTCCCTTCATTCCTGTCCTTTCAAGATGAAAATACAGATCCTCCCATGAAGACGTTAGGGGGCCTATTTTCTTCCCCTTGGAATCTGGGTTGTCTATGAAATTTCCTTGGCCAATATGACATTAGCACACATGACTCAGCAGAGGTTTGAAAAGTATTTGTGAATTGGAAGAGAACTGAGAGTCTGCCAACTGCCAGAAACATGACTGAGTCCATCCTAACTCACGTAATTGGGCACTCCACCAGGTGACCACAGTTGCACAAGAAAGCCTTGTAGAGAAGTGCTGAGCAGCCCCAGATGAGACAAACCACACACAAGGACCCACAGATATGTAAACAAAAGCCAGTGGTGGTTGCTGGAAGTAACTACATTTTGAGGGATTTGTTACAGTTAAGTTACTTAAATCAGGTGGCAAAAACACAAAGGGACAGGAAAAATGGATGTTATCTATATTTTAAGAAGTGGACTATATTTGTTCTGTGGACTGAGAGGTTTTGCATTCTAGATGTGTCTGAAGGAACTGGAATAAATGTGTATCTAGTGTTCTAGTTGCCATTGGGTAACTAAAATATCTTTTTTTTTCTTTTTTGAGACACAGTCTCGCTCTGTTGCCCAGGCTGGAGTGCAGCTGTGCAATTTCAGCTCGAGGAAGCCTCCGCCTCTTGGGTTCAAGTGATTCTCATGCTTCAGCCTCCTGAGTAGCTGGAACTACAGGCACATACCACCACACCTGGCTAATATTTTATATTTTTAGTAAAGACAGGGTTTGGCCAGGCTGGTCTCGAACTCCTGACATCAAGTGATCTGCCCGCCTCAGCCTCCCAAAGTGCTGGGATTACAGGTATAAGCCACAGCACCTGGCCCTAAAATGTCTTTATATGTAGATCACCTAGTCCAATCTGGTCAATGTATATATGAGGAATCGAAAACCAGGAGAGGGGATGTGACTTGCCCAAAGTCACAGTAAGTTCCCAACTAAACTGGGACTACTTGTCAGGTTCTCTGATCCCCAGTCCCAAGGCATTTTAATTATAGCCATCTAGGGATCTCGAGCAGTCCTAAGATTCTATGACTCTGTGACTCTATGGTTCTATAATTCCAAGACAAAGCAAACAATTCCAGTGCTCCCAGCAGCCTTAGCACAAGAAACGAACATGGTCTAGACTGAAGTACCAACGAAATCCTTTCCTTTCAAATTATCAACGACACCACCATGGATTCAAGCACTGCACACAGTCCAGTGTTTCTGGTATTCCCTCCAGAAATCAGTGCTCCAGAAGATGAGTCAACAGACTTTTCAGCCACAACCTTTTCAACTCAAAGCCCCTTGCAAAAATTATTTGCTACAAAAATGAAAGTCTTAGGGGTAAGTAAGGCTTGCCTCTATGTGTATTCTACAGAGGCAGGTAACAGGATGGGGAAATTATCTCTTGGCACATGTTTTAAGGTAGGAGCCCATGCCAATTCTTCTTTAAGACAAAGTGAATATAGAGTGTTAGTGGGACATTTAGAGAGGATGTTTGGCAAGAACTAATAATGTGGGTCTGGACTTGACAAAAAATGCTGTCATTTAGGACTCACCTACTGAAAAAGTGAGACTACTCAGACTGAGAAGGTGGACTGAGAAGATGAGAGCAGAGTACACAGATTCACACATTGTACACCTTCCATTTTTGCATGTTATTCTCATTAGTCTTTCCTAGCACCTGTCAAACCACTGCTTGGTGTCACAGTACATAACAAGAGTGGCTCAGAGAGGGAGAAAAATAAATAAACCGAAAAGATGAGGAGTGCTCTGGACCTGAGAGTGTGACAATACCTCAGCGGGCTCAGAGAATTGCTCATCTCCAGGCGGGGTTCCTCACAGTCCAATCCTGCTCGAGGCCAGGCTGGTATAGTGATTTAGAATTCAGTGTTTCTCAAACGTTCGTAATTATGGGATAAAGAGCTGAAGAGCTTATGAAGGTACATATTTCCCAGCCTCACCTGGAGACTGTTCAGTAAGTGTGGGATAGGGCCTGATAGTTCTCATTTCTAGCTCCCAGGTGATCCTGATGTTGTGAAACCATGGACCACATTTTCAGGAGCAATGATTTAGATCATTTTACCTATCATCAAATACTAGATAGAGGAATTAAGAAAGTACCCAAGAGTCGGGGCTGGGCGCAGTGGCTCACGCCTATAATCCCAGCTCTTTGGGAAGCCAAGGCGGGCAAATCACAAGGTCAGGAGATCGAGACCATCATGGCTAACATGGTGAAACATTGTCTCTACTAAAAATACAAAAAATTAGCCGGGCGTGGTTGTGGGCACCTGTAGTCCTAGCTACTCAGGAGGCTGCAGCAGGAATCATTTGGATCCAGGAGCGGAGGTTGCAGTGAGCTGAGATTGAGCCACTGCACTCCAGCCTGGATGACAGAGTGAGACTTCATCTCAAATAAAAGAAAGTACCCAGGAGCATCATAAAGGGACTTCTATTATCCTTCCTCTAATTACCAAAAGAGAGTAATTGTCAAATCCTCTAACCAAAAGAAGATCTTCTAAACAGAAGGGCACTTTGCTTTCCTCACCGTAACTTTTTCCTCTGTTTGCAGACTATCCAGATCCTATTTGGAATTATGACCTTTTCTTTTGGAGCTATCTTCCTTTTCACCTTGGTAAAACCATATCCAAGGTTTCCCTTTATATTTCTTTCGGGATATCCATTCTGGGGCTCTGTTTTGGTGAGTATAGTCAATCAAGTTCAATTTGAAGCCATGCTAACCAGGATGTTAGAGAATTCTTAGCAATGAAATAAGCTAAATCCAGTTGTATGATACACTTTCAAAAGCACAAAAATTTAACATCGTTGAAATTATTTCCCCATTAATTCATCACAGTCACTGATATTCCACCATCAGGTCTTGAAGTTCCTTTGGGAATATTTCTTTTGCTTTACATTGTTTATTTGGCTATTCATTCATTCAAAATTAGTTACCATCTATTATAAGCCAGATACACAGAGCAAGGCAATGAGCCTCTCCCTCAAAACCCTCTCAGTCTAGCAAGAAAACATGAAAACAGGTTACTTCAAGGCAGTGTGATGAATGTTATCGCAGAGGTGCAGGAAGTGCTTATCTAAGCAGAGATGAAGGAACAATTTATTCTTTACAGAAGTGAGTGGAGAGTGTTTCTCAGATATACCTTTTGAGTGGCAGAGAGGTATTTATTCAACCCAATGTAGTCAAAATCAATACACATTAACTTAGGACCTAATTTAGTGGCAGATAATGGGCATGGCAATGGATTCAGAAAAAAGAAAGCAGTCCCTGAGTTCAAGGTCTCAGTTGAGAGAGCAGTCAGACAATTAGCAGGGGGTATGATGAGGGAGAATAGACATGGGGGCTGTCTCCATAGGAAAGGCACCAACAAAACAGAGAAGACATTGCCCAGAGACATTTCCAGCTTGAGCAAGTTTTCAAGGGTGAGTGGTTCATCAGATGAGAACACACACAGAAGATGGGAGTCGGGATGCCTGAGTGTAAGGATCAGGGATGTCTTATTGTATGCCAAGAGAGAAATATGAGCAAAGGCTGACAGAATGGGAGAGCATTTTCTATTACGTGAACTAGCAAAGTTCAGCACAGGGAGTGAGGATGGAAAGATGAGGCTGGAAAATACTCACAACGGGGCTGCAAATTTAAACACAGATGTGCCGTAATCAGCTTTGAAATTTCCACTAGACAATGATGCTACCACATGTGACCCGCTTCCAAGAAAATTATTGGAGCTTTTAAAGAATTACCAGCACATTTGTTGAAACCCCGCCTTATGTTCCCATCCAAGAGAACACACTGGATTGTAGTAAGATGGAATCCAATCTTAATTATTATAAACTGACTTGACATCACTGTGTCATGAGATCAAAGCTGAGTCCACAATAGCTATCAAAGGAACATGGATGAGCAAACCAAAGTACTGTATCATTTTTTTTTTAATGTTAATGTTCAAATAAATAGGACTAAAGCAGATTTCCAGTCCAGTGTTTTATCCACTAATCCATTTGTGGAAACTCATATAAAGCAACTCACTCTTCTCACTTCCCTGAGGAGTGTGCGAACTCAGAGGCAGGCATGTAAAAGAAATGCATGGAAGTCTACTCTGTAAGAACTCAACATCAGCTAAACGTGGCCATCATTAGGATATTTATTCCTCTTAACAGTTCATTAATTCTGGAGCCTTCCTAATTGCACTGAAAAGAAAAACCACAGAAACTCTGGTGAGTTATATTTCTACTTTGTTAAAAATATATTTTGTAATAAGTTACATTTCCACTTTATTAAAAATATATAGCTTTGAAATAATTTATCCTGGCCTTGAAAAAAATTTTTAAGTCATTAGGTCACCATAATTCCACAAACTAGCAAGTATTGATACCAATAAACAGCATTTGCTTCCTGCTTTTCTAGAATTATAAGCCACTGTGCCAGAAGAGAAAGTCTTTCTAGGTCATCTAGTTTAGTTATTATTTTATGTATGAAGACACTGAGGCTTAGAATTGTTAAATAGCTTGTTCAAATTCCCAGCCAATTAATGGTAGAATTATTTCAAAATTCCAGTTACTTATTCATTATTTTTTGGTTTTGGGGTATTTACCAGGCACTTTGATAGGCACTACTTTGACTCATGTAAAAGGCAAACTGTAGACAATCTACACCAGAAACAGAATATCAAAATAAAGAATATAGTGCTACTGAATGTAAAGATGTAGGTAAGTTATAAGTAGAATACTTTTACTTTACTCAAATAATTGAAGACATAAGATATTACTATGCCAATACATGATTTTAGCAAAGGACTGAAAATCCTTAGTTTTTCATTTTAGGAAGAAATTAAAATGGCAGAGAAGCGCAGCATTTAGTTAAACATAGGAGTCTTAAAACAAAAGTGTAGACCATGACTTTCACCAGAGCATCAAAATGCAATTGTCCTAGGCAAACCCTTCCTGCCAACTGAGTGAGAGTTAACTTACACATAGAATATGAGGAATGGAAACATTATTAAAAGTTCACCAGATTCCCTCATTGGGTAGAGGAGGGCCTGAAGCCCAAAGATGTGAAGCAATGCACATAGGATCACACAGCTGCCTCGTGTCATTGTGATGCTGTGACTAAGATCCTGCTCTCCATTCTCTGCACTCACTGCTTTGTTTATAGTACAGTCTGGGCCTAAGTCACATTGCTATGTTCTTACTCTATTTCAGATAACACTGAGCCGAATCATGAATTTTCTTAGTGCCCTGGGAGCAACAGCTGGAATCATTCTCCTCACATTTGGTTTCATCCTAGATCAAAACTACATTTGTGGCTATTCTCACCAAAATAGTCAGTGTAAAGCTGTTACTGTCCTATTCATGGTAAGTATGTTGATTTATATAGTGAGGAGTAAATAGAAAATATTTATTAGCACTCAATCAGCACCATCCAGATAATGTTATGGATACACATGTATTTTCTTTCACTGACAAACATTTATGAAATCCATAATATTTGACAGACATTATACCAGGCATTGTGGAAGAGAAAAACAAACACATTATAACTCCCACCTTTAGGAATTCACAGGAACACAAGAGATAAAACATATACACAAATCAGTGTAATACAAATATAAAACGATATACTAAAAAAGTAAAGGTACAGCAGTGTGGCTGCAGTTCATAGTTCTATATGTACATTAGAATCACAGTGGTGTGTTTTCACAGTTTTTGATCTGGTTTTAACAGGCTGAACTTCCAATAAAGAAATGATAAGATTGAAAAGAGGCATTTATTTCAGCTCCTTTCAAAATACTACTAAGATTAGTGTAAAAGAATGTAAGCTGGTCAGGAGTTCGAGACCAGCCTGATCAACATGGTAAAACCTCGTCTCTACTAAAAATATAAAAATTAGCCGGGTGTGGTGGTGCATGCCTATAATTCCAGCTACTCAGGAGGCTGAGGCAGGAGAATCATTTGAACCCAGGAGGTGGAAGTTGTAGTGAGCCGAGATCATGCCACTGCATTCTAGCCTGGGTGACAGAGTGAGACTCCATCTCAAAAATAATAATAATAATAATGTAAAAGGGTTGATCCACATGGAGAGAAAAAGGGAGTTAACAAACGCATCAAAAATTGCTGAGGAAATTGAAAACCCACTCCCTAAGGCAAAGGGGTTCCTAATAGAAGACATTTCTTACAACAGAGCCTAAGAAATACTTGATATTTGAATGCACCAAGTTCATAGAAAGCAGGACTGAGGCCGGGCACAGTGGCTCACATCTGTAATCCCAGCACTTTGGGAGGTTGAAGTGGGCAGATCATAAGGTCAGGAGATGAAGACCAGCCTGGCCAACATGGTGAACTTTTTAGTGTCTAATAAAAATGCAAAACTTAGCTAGGTGTGGTTACTCAGGAGGCTGAGGCAGGACAATTATTTGAACCCAGGAGGCGGAGGTTGCAGTGAGCCAAGATTGCGCCACTGCACTCCAACCTGGTGACAGAGCAAGATTCTGTCTACAAAGGAAGAGAGAAGAGAAAGAGAGAGAAAGAGAGGAAAAAGAAAGAAAGAGAGAGAGAGAGAGAAAGAAAGAAAGAAAAAGAGAAAGAAAGAGAGAGAGAAAAAGAAAGAAAGGAGGGAGGGAAGGAAGAAAGGAAGGGAGAGGGAGAGAGAAAAAGAAAGGAAAGAAAGAAAAAGCAAGCAAGCAAGCAAGCAGGACTGAAGAGCAGAAAATAGGGCGACTGGTTTTGGTGATGGTAAGTATGGATATTTGGATCAACTTTTCTCTGAAAACAAAAGTTTTGTATTAAAAGGCAAAACAAAACAAACTTAAAGGCGTTAAAAAGCTGAAACGTCAGCTGGAACTATTAGATCAATTTTTAGATGAAAGCCTACAACCTGAAATTTACAAGTGGAATTCTGAAGAGCGCCAAAACTGCTTGTACCTTCAGGCCCGTTTGCCAGTGATATCCATTTGGAATCCAATCCCTGGCCCATGTAGACTGAAAGAGAAAGAAGTCAAGGCTTCATTCACTCCACTCAAGGGACCAAGACTTAAAAGAGACTTTCTCCACATTAAACTAGGTCTTTGATAGGCTACTATGCTCTTCAGGTAAAAGCAAAAAGATACATAAAGTACCCTGCCCCAAAATAGCAGAGAAGACTTGCTGAACAAAGTTGAAACAGTATTTGAAAAGTGGCCACTGACCAAACCCCTCGACAACCTCCTCACATGCCCTGATCCCCACTGACCTTTGCTAAGCATGAACTGGGTGAGCCAAATAGTCCACCTGAATTTGGTCTTCGTATGTGGTGCCCCTGGTACCCGACAGAAGCAAAACCAAAGTCTATCTGATGGAAAAACGTCACTAATCTTAAGAAATTCCTATCAAATTTTCCGTTGAAAATTAACAGTAAGCACTCAAAGACGCATAAAAACAAATAAGACAATGCAAATAACAACTAATAGAAACAGAACATAACAAAAACAAAACCACCCATAAATTCTGATAGTAAGTATATTAGAAGAGATTTTAAAACTACAATACTTATCATGTTTTAAGAAATAAACAATAAACTTTAAAATACCTCAGGGAATATAAAATTATAAAAAGCAAAATAGAAGATTTTCTATTTAGAATTATTATGAACCCATAAAAAATGGAAAATCAAAACTTGAAAATTAAAAAAAGATTGTCCCAGTAAATAAAAGTTAAAAAAAAAAAACAAAAACACGACTGCAGTCTGTTTACAAGAAACAGCTAAACTAGTAACAAACAAATGGACTTAAGAAGCATTAGTACCCATAGGATAGGGAACTTCCTATAATAAAAGAATCAATCCACAAGAGAAACATTACATTTCTAAGTTTGAACGCTCCTAATAACAACTCAAAATCAACAGGAAAAGCTAACTCAGCTGAAAAATGTGAGTAGAGAAAGCTAAAATCAGCACACGAAATTTTAGCACACATTTCTCAGCAACTGAAAGAATATGTAGAAAGACTATAAAATTAAAGGATTCTGAACACAATTGATAAAATTGACCTAAATGTCATATATAGAACACTACACCAAGCAACTACATAACACTGTTAACTGATATTTTTAATTGACAGATAAAATCATATGTATTTATTGCGTATATTTTGAAGTACATACATACATTGTGGTATGTTTAAACCTAGCTAATTAACAAACACATTACCTACTATAGTTATCACATTTGCAGTGAGAACACTTAACATTCACTGTCTTTGCACTTTTAAGAATACAATAGCCATCATTCTCAGCAAAATAACACAGGAACAGAAAACCAAACATGGCATGTTCTCACTCATAAGTGGGACTTGAACAATGAGAACACATAGACATAGGGAAGGGAACATCACACAGTGGGGCCTGTTGGGGGTTAGTGGGACAAGGGGAGGGAGAGCATTAGGACAAATACCTAATGCATGTGGGGCTTAACACCTAGATGACAGATTGATAGGTGCAGCAAATCACCATGGTACATGTTTACCTGTGTAACAAACCTGCATATCCTGCACATGTATCCCAGAACTTGAAGTAAAATTTTTTTTAAAATACAATATACTGTCATTACTGTCCTGCTGTACAACAGATATCTTGAACTTATTCCTCCTGTCTAACTAACTGATGGAAGAATAATGCCAACCTAGAAATCTAGGCCTAGTGAAAATGTTCTTCAAAAATGAAGGTGAAATAGCTGGGCACAGTGGTTCAGGCCTGTAATCCCAGCACTTTGGGAGGCTGAGATGGGTGGATCACTTGAGGTCAGGAGTTCGAGACCAGCCTGACCAACATGGTGAAACACTCTCTATACTAAAAAATACAAAAATTAGCAGGGCATGGTGACACACCTGTAATCCCAACTACTCAGGAGGCTGAAGCAGGAGAATCACATGAATCCAGGTGGTGGAGGTTGCAGTGAGCAGAGATTATACCACTGCATTCCAGCTTGGGTGACAGAGTGAGACTCCATCTCAAAAAAGAAAACAAAAAAACTGACAAAATTGAGAGATTTTACTTAGAACATTTTCAACAATTAACCATTTGCTGAGCCTGCAAGCCTCAACAAAATTCAAAGGATTAAAATTATACACAGTAGGTTCTCTGAAAACAATGGAATTGAATTAAATGTCAATTTTTAAAAGGCAAAAATAAATCCCAAAACTGCTTTGAAATTCTAAGTTTTACAGGGCTCAAAGAATTTACAATAGAAATAAAAAATATATTAAAAACAAAATAATATAAATATTTATTTAGAGATCGAGATCCAAGATGGCCGTTTAGGAACAGCTCAGGATTGCAGCTCCCAGTGAAAGCGCAGAGGGTGAGTGGACGCCGCGTTTTTATTGCCCACAGAC